ATAAACCCGTATAGCATATGATATTATGAATAAAGTACAAATTATGAATTTCAGATTTTTATACTTGATCAAACTGTCTATTATAAGTGCAACCTTTAATGGTGTCTTATAGAGCAAACGTAAGAGTGTGATTCTGATTGGTTGTATATTATTAATTACATGACATGTGATTTTATAGAGAAGATTTTATATAGGTGGTTCATGAAAAATTGTGATAGTGACTATAACGTGATTGTGCCTATATAGAGTATAAATTATTATTAAAAATTATTGGTAAAAATAAAACTGTGATTATATAGAATATGTGACTATATAGGAGGTGACTATATGGAGGTCTGACTGTACTTCTAAAAAACAATCTGGCGAAATTTTAAGTAACCTTAATTATAAAAATTTTTGACTTGTTCCAATTCAAATTGAATTTTTTATTGTAAACCAATATAAAAAGTTTGTGTAATAGTACTTTTCAATAGAAAATAAACAACCAATAAAAACCAACTTTCATCATGCTACCAGCGGTTTCAAAGTCTTAAGAACAAGAACTAGAGTCTTCAAAAAAAAAAAAAAAAAAGTTTTTACACAACACCAGTAGTGCCAAAATCTTGGATAGTTTTTACATAATGCCAGAATCCAATTTTAGTGTCAAAACTTTAAAATTTTGAAACCTTAAAGCCTTTGAAACCTCAAAAATAAGAATAGAACTATATCCTTTGGGAATAGAATGGTACAAAACTTAAGAAGGATATTGTAGTCAGAGATTTTACTGGATTTGGTAATTGATGATTGCACCTTATTTAGTAATGATTATCAGTCAGATTGTTCTAGATTTTATTTCCAAATTGTTCTATGTATTAATGAGAATAAAAAATTTAATACTGAAATTTTAACAAACGATCGTTATGCTTAAGCTAAATTCAAGCAATTTATGGGTTTTAGAATGGTGCATTTATTAAATAAGTATTTTTTTTAAAATAGCATTTTAACTATATAGACAACTTTCTCTATTCTGAACAGTCTGTTATTATATATAAAATTAGTCAAAAGTTCAGTTTTCAAAGAGGTATTATATTACTAATCCGAACTTTATAATAAAATTTACAAATGTTCTAGAGTTTTATGTTTAGTTCTTACAGAATTTATTATAGTTCAGATTAGAAAGAGGCAACTGTACTGCTATGTAGAATTACTAAATTATATTGTTATATAATCCAGAAAATGAAATACAGTAAAATTTTTAATTTTACAGTTCTAATACTGTAATATGATAATAAGGAATTGATATTTTTAGGCAAAGATAATAAGAGTTATAGAAAAACAAGCTAAAAACAAGACTTGATAACAAGATCCAACGTTGAATAGTGATTTGTGAATTACCGACTATGGGAAGTAGATGATTTAAGCTATTACAGTACTACAGTATTAATCTTAAATATCTAATTACTGAACTAAGAGAAGATCTATTTTGTTGTCATCAAATCATATAATCGTAGAATAATAGGCATTGGTGTATCATTTCAATCACTTGCAAGTGCGTTATTTCAGAATAGTATAATTTTATTTTTCTTCTAGAGGGAAATTTTAATCTTTCAGTAAGAATTTGCAAAGTTCTAATAGCACCATTAATTTTTCTTCTACAGTAAGGTTCTAATGACTTCTAGCCAACAACACTGCCAATTGCTATTATAAATTTGCTGTGGCAATTCACATAATAGTAAGACCTATATCAAATTGTTTAAGAATAGATCTCTTTAGCTAAAACTACTTACTTCTTTATATATTAATTAGGCTTCAATTCAAATCGGGTTTTATTGCAGTATCGAAGTGAAATCTTTAAGATTTTACTATCAGTATATTTTTATATTAGGCATCTCAATTGAATATAATCTGCATAGTATTCTCATCTTTACCCAAGAATTTTTAAAAATGTTTTTAAAAATGGGCATTACTAATATCAGTTAATTAATAATAATAAGAGATTAAATCAATAGTAATATATTAATTCTCAAATATATCAATATAAATGCTGAAATATATTAATATAAATGTATCAATATAAATATAATAAAGATGTAAACATTCTTTTAAAATATTATTATATTAAATTTTAAATTTTATTATAAATATAAAATTGTATATATTACAGTATTATAATTACAAATCTTAACCAAAACTACCCCACTTATTTTACTCTTTGTTATTAATATTAATACTATTTTTGGCCAATACACTTCTAATCTCTTGAAGAATATTTATTAAAGTGTTACAGAATTTACTTGATAAGCACCAGAAACGTGAACGATTAGAATCATCTAAAGAAGGAATTAAAGAGTTAATAATAAATAATATTTGTGGTTTTGTTAGAGAATTTTTACTCTTTTGAAGATCCGCCTCTTCACATGTTATAGGTATTAGATGCCAAATATCTAGTGTCGTCTTTTTAATTAGTTTCACTTTAATAAGTTCAATTCTCTTCATATGTGCAATTTCACTAAATCGTTTTATCTCTTCACTTAGTGTTGATTCCCCATTTATACTTTGAAAAATATGATCATTAGCTCTTGGATTTACGAATTAAGTTTTTCTTATTCGAGCCCAAAAGTGACTTGATTTAGCAGTAAAACTAGGATGTGTACAAGGTTTATGGGTTTCACTTTTAGAATATCCTATTAAATTAAAAAGATTAGTACACAATTTCAAAAACTTAGTACAATTACATACTGCAATTTTCCAATGCTGTTGTAAAGGTATTGGAGAAATTAATGATTTAAGCGCTCTATTAATTTCTTTAAGGATTGCATCATAGCCTTGATGTTGATTCAAAAGTTTGGATCGTGAGATTACAATTCTTTCTTGGATTAAATCGCAAATCTCAGGCTTTAATCATAGCATTTGCTCTTCATCACAGATTTTAATTAATTGATAAATTGGATGCTATCAAGCAAACCAAATAGGCGCGAATACTTTTCTAGCAGCAAGTCTTAGCAAAAATCTATTAAAACGAACTCTAGTACGAAAGTTAATAATTGCTTGTAAATAAAAAAAAACTTGTTCATACTTTAACTTATATATAGGATCTGTTTGATTTTGAACCCATTCTAAATAACCTTCGACAGAAGGATTTTCTTCAGAAATAATATATGGCTATATCAATTCAGAAGCCATTGCATGCCTATAGATATTACACACTAAATCTTATGATTTATGGTGGTCTGAGCATTTTTTGAAAAACTGAAGTTGATTTTTAGTTCGATATCCTTGACAATAAGCAAAATCTCTCAAGTTAATATTTCAATTTAATTCAACAAATACTTTTAAAATATTCATTTCTTTATGAAAGGTGCCTGGAATTAATATAAGCCAAGAGAAATCCTTTTTTATTTTCTGTATATAGTGATATGGTACACCAATACAGATAACTGCAACCCATTTACGCCTATTGTACTTAATTCCAGATATTTTTTCAACATGCTCAAGGACCTTTCAAACATTAGCAATCGAATTGGGATTAATACCTATTGGATTGGGAACAAAGACTTGTAGCATATAAATCTCAGAAACTGATTCTTGCATATCTAATTCTTTAAACCTATTAGAATAAGTAACTAGAGACTTTTTATTAGTATTTTTAATATTAGATGACTTATTAACTTGTTGATTAATCTCATTAATTGTAGGTAATTTATTATGACACTTAGGACAAACCCACTTCTTGTTATCGATATCAGAGATTTGACAAAAAGAATATTTTTTCATACACCCTGTTTGACCCTGATGATTTATTATATTGTCAATCACATTAATTTCTTGACTTTTCTCAAGAAGAAGTTCCTCTAAAATAATTAAAAGGTAGTTAGTAAGTTCCTTATGAATTTTGTCTTTCATACCTAGTGTTAAATAAAACAATTTCTCATATTGCTTTTGAGTAAGCTCAGAATATAGCCAAGAATCTGTATTCTGAATATTGTTGCTTTAAAAGCAATAAAACTTGTAACAGTATGGAATATGACCGTATTATGACTACAATCTAAGTAGTTTTTTTGATCCTTTTGCTTATTGTCAAAAGCTAAAAACAAAAGACCTTCAGGAAGTAGTAGTAGTTCTATAGCCAGACTTTCTAACCAATTGGTGAACTTTGAATAACTACCAGAGCTAATAATATGATTATCAATATCAATAATCATTTTTGATTTTGCTATGAATACTTAACTGCTAAAGTGGCCAAATTAATTGCAGACACATATTTTAAGTACCATGATTTATATATAGAATCAATGACTACTGCACATTTAAAAAGTTTTTCTCTCTCCAGTTGATACTCATTTTTATTATGCACAAGTGTTTCTATAAACTTAACAGCAACCAGATTCCGTTTAGCAAGCCATTTGGAAAAAGAATACTCTAAAAGACTATTTAAGCCAAACCACTCTTGATTTTTCATCAAATTTATTATGTCTTGATATAAATTACTTCATTTTTGTTTGGCAATTTCTATTACAGAAAAAATGTGATCTTGTTGATTAGTAAACTTTAACTTTTTTTTAATGCCTTATTTTTACTTAATAATTGCTCATTAATTTTTTCTAACTCATCAATTCTTCTTTAAAGAATTTCACATATTGGATCTGAAAAGGATACTTGGAATCCAAAATCGGCACAAATTCTTTCAAATAAATCAACTTGAGTGCCAAAATCGATGAAACTTTTTTCAGAAACTTGTAGCTCTTCATCGTTAAAAACCTTTAATTTTTTTTTATTAGGTTCACTTGAAAGAATTGGACCTGTTTCTTTTTTCAATTTATCAATAAAAAATTTTTAGCAACAAGCTAGTTATAATGCCCTCTGTATATAGAATAACTATCTATAGAAACAAGAAATGAAGTTAATTCAGAAAAATACTTAGCCAATTTTGTTATTTTGTTTGTTGCTACAGGAGCAGATGCATTTCGCCACTTCCCTTCCTTACATTTCTCTATACACTTTAACAGGTCACTGTTTAGATGCTTTGTAGCAAAAGAAGAGAAAATACAGAGCAGATCTTTAGCTTCAGGTTTAGAATTCATTGTTAGTCAAGATATGAATATATATAATTAAAACTTTGATTTGTGAAAAAACTAGTTTGTTAAATCTCAGGGATCCCTAGGGATTCTAAAAGTATATGCTTGAAAATAGGTATTTCAATAGCTAGCCTTGACTTTTATTATAAATTAATTATGTATTCAATCAATAAAATACCTTAGAATTTTTCTATAAAAAGATTATCAAATGCCAATCGTATTTTGAAGCATATTTATAAACTATTCTAGAAATAATCTACAAATTTTGAAAAATCTCTGACTATATTGTACAGTACTTACACTTGTGTTTTATTTAGGTGCAAGAGACTAGAGTTGTAACCCAAAACCTATTTGATTGAACCTAAAGGTTTAGGGTTTTGGCTATAGATTGCGAAACCCTAAACTAGTGTCAAAATCTCAAAATGATACTGAAATCTCAAAATGATGCCGAAATCCCAAAATGATACCAAAATTTCAAAATGATGCCGAAATCCTAAAATGATGTTGAAATCTCAAAATGATGCTAAAATCCCAAAATGATGCCGAAATCCCAAACCAGTGCCAAAATCTCAAAATGATGCTGAAATCCCAAAATGATGCCGAAATCTCAAAACGATGCCGAAATCTCAAAATGATGCCGAAATCTCAAAACAATGCCGAAATTCCAAAACGATGCCGAAATTCCAAAATGATGCCAAAATCCCAAAATGATGCCGAAATCCCAAAATGATGCCAAAATTCCAAAACGATGCCGAAATCCCAAAACGATGCCAAAATCCCAAAACAATGCCGAAATCTTAAAATGATGCTAAAATCTCAAAATGATGCCAAAATCCCAAAATGATGCCAAAATCCCAAAACGATGCCGAAATCTCAAAATAATGCCGAAATTCTAAAATGATGCCAAAATCCCAAAACGATGCCAATATCCCAAAATGATGCTGAAATCCCAAAACAATGCTGAAATCCTAAGCCAGTGCCAAAATCCCAAACCAGTGCCAAAATTCTAAACCAGTACCAAAATTTCAAACCAGTGCCAAAATTCCAAACAATTGCTAAAATCCCAAATCAGTATCGAAATCTGCCAAAACCTTAAACCAGCATGATTTTTCTAAAACCTAAACTAAAGTCAAAATCTCAAACCAGTACCGAAGCCCGGTTAACCAAGTCATATATTATACTTTAAATTAGTATTTATAGTCGATAAAATCAGCTTAGCTAACTTAGTCAGCCGATTTTTCAAAAATTCAACTTATAATAAGGTTATATGAATATCTGAAAATTTATAAAAAGAAATCAACAAACATAAAATTAATTTTATGTTACAGAAGCGACTGTTGATGTTACATAACTGATCCTTCACCTGGTGTGCAATATATAAAAAACTATTTTACAATACTAGCATCAGCAAAAAATATAGATGCAAAATTTTGAAAGTTATTGCATGCAAAAAAATTGCGAAAGAATTGTGATTGACGCGACGGATTGCGAAATTTTAAAATCGCAAAATAGCGCAAAATATTTCGAAAAAATGCGAAAAATATTGCGAAATTTTTGCAAATATAATACATTAAAAATACATATAAAATAAAAATTCAAAAA